CGACATAACTTGCATCACACAAGTCACATTTAAATCTGTACACAACACACTGCTGATTTATGATTGTAGGTTTTCTTTCTGTTTTCTTAATTTCATCACTTATTTTTCTGCTTGTGAAAACAGGAAAATGTTTTGGTCTATTTTGTTGCTTAGTTGGCGTAGTTGACGCTTAACTAAGTTGGCAGATTTCTGGTCTTTGAATGGTAGAATAATTCGGATGGGCATTTCCTTCTCATCAGATTCACTATTACTGAATTTATTATCTGTCTCTAGAGTTGACTTAAACATTTGAATTGTGGATGTGATGAGGTCATCTGTGTATTCAAGGCGTTTGAAAATCCTTCTTAGGTTATCACATTCCTCGTTGAATAAGTGGCTGGATGATGATAGTTTGTAGGCCCGATTCAACATGGTAATTAAAAGTGTCTTCTTGTGCTTATTTTGTCTACATGGCTTCTATAGTGTAGAAGTAATCCTGTGTCTGATGGCTTTCTATAAATGCGTGTGTGTAACTTGTTAGAATACTTAGTAATTAGCATTCCTAGGAAAGGAATAGAATTGTTCACAGCAGTTTCCATAGTGAAGTTTATGGCAGGATCAATGTTGTTGAGCAAGTCAAGAAATTGCATGGCAGATTCTGTGTTAGGCATAAATACTAGAGTATCATCAACGTATCGCTTGTAATATTTCGGCATTTGATTGCTACATTCAAGGCGTTCCTCTATATTGCACATGAATGCATTTGCCATAAGTGGACCTAAGGGTGATCCCATTGCTACTCCATCGATCTGTTCATAAAAGTTAATTTGAAATTGAAAAAGCTGGTTGCAATATTAAGAAGAGTAATGAGGTACGGTTTACTTAAGTTGAGTCCATATGTGACATTAAACCAGTTGTCAGTGAAGGCTTTATCAGCAATAATTTGAATTGTCTCATCCAATGGAACATTTGTAAATAAGGAGGAAACATCATATATGATACTAATATGTCATCGACGTTGATATCAGTAGAGCGAATATCACTAGCAAAGCTAAACACGTTATCAATTGTGTACTTGTTCTGGGAGAGTAGTTTTAACTTCTCATCTAACTATTGCGCTAGTTTATAATTGTATGTCCCAGTTGCTGACAAGATAGGTCTCACAGATAGCGTCTCTTTGTGTGTTTTTGGTAAACCATACAAATGAGCTAATCTTGAACCACTTTGGCAGACTGACTTGGCGATTTCCTTTGGTAGAATTCGGTGAACAGTTGCGTTCATATCTTTCTCCTTTTTGAGAAGCGGGTGGTAATGTGTCATTGGTCTTCCTTCTTGTCCTCGGTTGTTCAGATGAGATAGGTATGAATTTGGAGATATCATTGACAGATGCTTTACATAACTAACATACTCACTTTTGTCCATTACCACTACTCCTGATCCTTTATCTGGTTTTGTAATGATTATGCCATCTCTCTTTTTCAGTTGGCCAAGGGCTCTTTTCAAAGCTCTGGGGGGAGATGGACCTTTCCTTTCAATGTAGTTTAGTGCAATAGACTTGAGAGTAGCAGCTGTCAATTCTTTTGTTTCATTACTCTCAACTTGTTAGTCATTTTGCAAGATGTAACCACGTAAACGAGCATGCAAATAGAGTTCTCCAACCATAGACACCAAAAAAAATATGTTGAAATACAAACTACACTAGTGAAGTCATTGAATAGCTCTTACAAGTTACTGTAACTTCGATTTTTTAATTTTATCTCAGAACCTACATAGCAGCTTTGCAAACCAGGGAGGAGACCTTGAGTACTCTTTGTGGTTCTCTCTTGCCAAAAAAGACTGGGTAGCTGAAAAACATCTTGTCAAGTCTACATTCGGTAAGATAACTTTTCAAAAAATAATTTGTGCTTTACCCATTTATATTTTATACTGGTTGAAGTATTTCAATGCATTTATAAGCTTAATCTCCACCATTTAAGTTAATACAGTATATATCAGCATTTAGGTCAGGCATTTCATGTGTTATAATATGTGAATGTTGTCTGTCTTTGCAGAATACGCTGCAAACATAATTGAAATGGCTCTGTACATGGCAAAAAGTAATATGAAAGAGTTTTTTACACTGCTTACATAATGTGCGATCCGGGAACAATTGATGGGAAATTACCGAAACCAGACAAAAATCAGTTCATGTCCAGTTTACTCAGCCGATACAGTAACATGACCATGTTAAACTTTTTTTTATAAGAACCATTCAAATTATGCCCAGGCTCACTGTTGTTATTTTTTGCTGATTCCAGCATTGCTCTATTTTGTTCTTAATTTCACACACATTTACAGAAAATTGTTATTGTACAGCAGTATATTACTGTGCTATAAACATTATAAGATCGTTATCGTTGAAATATAAACAGGCCTTTATCCTCAACCTGGGCTTCAATATTTGGAAAAGCTTTTGGTTTGTACACTGATTGTACTTTAAACATTTCTGATGAGGTAGTTCTTGTTATCTTGCATAGTAAAAGACCTACTACATGTCTTGTGACATGTTTCCAAACTACATCTTCCACGTTGTATTAACAAATTCTACCCACTTATTAAATGTTTCTATATCTTTTTTTGAAAGAGAACAAAAGATAGTTTCTGGTGACTAAATTGCATTCTGATGTGTTGAATTTGTGTAGAAAAAAATCATGGAAAATAATTTTATATAACCAATTATGTTATTTACTAAGATAATTCATATATAAGGGTTTTTTGAAATGATAATACTGTTATTGCAATAAGCAAGCAATTACCATTAATCATTTTTTAAACAAATTAAATTGGATAACAATTATATTTATTATTACATGTACTAATCTTTACATTTAATGATAAAATAAAGCATGCTTTAGCATGAATATTGCAATCATAACTGTAAATTAGTGGAAAGTGTCTTCACTTTGTTTCAGTACTTATTAAAGGTTGTCCCATTTTGTGAAAAAATAATAAGAGTTCGTCAGTGTTAAATAATATAGGCATATCATGAGAGTCTCTTGTAGCATGGATACTGCAATAGTAATCAAACAAGTATTTCATTAATCAAATTGTAAATGATTTTAATTGAATTGCAATTATACAGTATATAGTACAGTAGTAATACTATTTAGATTTAAAAAAAAGAAAAAAAAAAGAAATGCATATTGTTTTTAAGGTTGTTGGACATACCGTATTACTAAAATAAATATGCTATTACGAAGCACACAAAACCTGGTATAGTGTAATGCCTTAATTTTGTTAATAAATAGGTGCCTAGTATCGTCAGGAAAATTGAATCATACAATTTTACATCTTACACTGTATTGTTTGCTCTGTAATTCATAAGCTATTGGAATTATGCTTTACATAGTCTATTTTATAACAATAGTGAATGATATGCAGATTGTATAAGCCTATTTATGAACAGAAAACACCTCAATTTCAGGGCATTCTATATTATATAGTTGAATTGCATTGTAATTAACCAAAAATAAATTATTGTTAAAATATACAATTTTAATAGATAAAATTAATTTAACACAGACATAGTAATTCATACTGGCAATACATTAACATAGCTACAGCATGAGGAGCCTCTGGTTAAAGGAGGTCTGGGGAGGATATTTAAACCCTGTGTAGTTGGCACTGGGTTCAGGAAATGCCTCATGTATGGACTTCATTACACGACATCAGCACTCGCCTGTCTTTGCCAAGATAACCCCAGCACCAACATACAAATTGCCGATCGGCTATATACCTGTAACGCCTGGAAAAAAAAAGGGAAAAAATTGTGAAGCAATATTAATATAGATTTTTTTTGTGTGTGAGGGGAAGAGAAAACAGGAATTAAAGCATAACTACACCTCATAAATAGTAATCAGATTTAATAAAATATTTTATTGGTCAATTCCACTTGTAAGCAGTGGGGTATTTTGCAAGACTTGCATGTAAGTGCACAAACGACGAAAAAGTAAGGTACCACCCAAAATATTAACTAATGTATGCCTAATAGAACAAAAATATATGTTGATGTTTGCGGTACACCACATAGGCAGTTTTGAAAAGAACTCTTGTAGTTAAGAAACTCTCAACGTTTTGATTGAGTTGCTTCAGTCGTCTTCGGGAGAATAATACCTGCAGAAATTGCAAACAGGGAAATACTTATATGTTTGAGTAGAGAAGTACAAAAATAATTCATCTATGTATTCTTTACCTTTCGACTCCCCCTTCGGTCACAGGCTACTGGTATTGTGAAACAATATGCAATTTGTAGTTTTGCAGGATTTAAGATGGCTGGTTCAAACCAAGGATGTGTGGTAATGCACCCATTGTGGTATGGCTCTTCATTGTTTTTTTGCATAACCTTTTCAATCTGTTAAAAAAAGATGGAACATGAATTCATGAAAACTTTAAAAATATTTAATCTGCAATACAACAGAGGTAATGTAATACACGCCTTTTCCACAGTGCAGTAGTACTAGTAGTACTCTAGACTAGCATTGCTTTATTTACCATATGAGAGTTTCCTGTGTTAAAAACATGATTTATACTACACTTATTAATACTTGTACTTTATAATAAGAGAAATCTCATATTATTGACACCTGGAACAGTAACAATACGAAAGTACTATGCTACTGCACTGTAATGCTTAGGCCTATTTTAATACACTACCTAGATAGGGTTTTCTTTTTCCATTTTGATTTCCGAGGTCAAAAACATTTTTCAATTTTTTTTTTCAATCATATAGTGGTGTAGAATAGTCATTTGAGAACATTTTCAAGAAAAAAATAAGGTGGTACGACCCTCTGTTATGAAGTTTTAGATAACATGAGGACAAGAATTCTGCTTCAAAGCTTATTTTCATGGTAGGGAGGAAGAATTTTTTTTTTCTCACATCAAACATGAAAAAATAGTGTCACAAGGAAAACTATGAGACCAAAATTGCATACAAGAAATTATGTAATTCATCTAAACCAAGCAGAAACTTTGCCTATGAATAACAGTCATAATGCAATTTCTCTAAATAATAATGCACAATTTACTCCAACACAACAGGCATCATGGATGCCATGTGGCTACAATAGTATAGAACAACAGTAGAGCATAGGACTGCAAGTGATCTGGCTAACGTGCGGATGGGTTGTAAATAGACCTACTGTATATATTTAATGGAGTTTTGTATAAAAAAAAATAAATCATTCAAGTCAGTGGCCTCTCTGATGGTTGGGAGGGGATGCTAACCAATTATTTTATTTTACATGGCCTTAATTTGTATTTTAATTTTTTTTTAATTTTCATTTCAACAATATTTTGTGAGGGTGGTCCATCCAGCCTGAGCTGATCAATTGGGACCCTCAGTACATACAATTAAAACATAAGTATAAAAATTAAACTTGATCTTTAACATAAACAAATTAATTAAATTAAACCGGGAAAAATCAAATGGTTCTTACTTCTTGACAACAGGAACGATTTCCCCACATCTCTTCCACGATGCAGTTTCCACAAGTACACCTGAAAATAACAGAAATGCATTTTATAGAACATAATAGAAGGACTAGGCCCAATTATCATAACTCAGACAGGTTCTATTTCCCCAAATAGAAGCCCAGGGTATGATTTTAATGGCTCAGTTGACTTGTAGTCTACAAATACTTTCAGAAAAAAAATATCAAAGATACGCTTTAAATTATGCATGCAATGTTAAAATATTCTGTTTGGTTTTCTATCCATACAACTTTAAATAGGGCACGCTGATGTCAGATTTAAAAGGATATTTTTTTTTTATTTGGTTGAAATGGAATTCCCCTGGGTATACACCCACCAACTAACTAGGCACCCACCAACTAACTAGGCTAAAATAGGCCAAACATGGCAATAGGCATTAGTCTATTAGTATTATTTTAGTACCACCCTAACCCTCCCTACAGTATAGGCCTAGCCAAAGATGACCTAGCCTAGATAGGCAAAGAAGGGCTATCCTAGGCATATAGACCTCGCTAGACTAGGCTATAAAACAGGCCTAGCCTAGGAGGTAGACCCCAGACTATGAATTGGCTAGGCCTAGTTAGAAGCCTCCACCCAAACAAAAAAAAATGCCATAAAAACCGTCCGCGCAATTGGAAAAATAAGGGCTAATTTCCACGCTGGTTTTTCCGAAAAAATCATCCTAGGCATATAGACCTCGCTAGACTAGGCTATAAAACAGGCCTAGCCTAGGAGGTAGACCCCAGACTCCTAGCCGTACGGCGCTCTACCCTCTCTAGGCCTAGCTAGGACTGGTCTAGCCTTTGCTTTGACATAATATATAATAAATCTGCTACGGGATGTCAAACAACCAGTATAATATGTTCAAAAAACATATGATATGAATAAAATTACCATTCCCGTCTTGCCGCACGTTTATATTTCCCGGTAAACCTAGGCGAATAAGTTCACCAAGCCTACTGACACTGTAGCATCATCATCCATCAGCAACAGCGACGGGCCTTGCTTGCTTGGTTCATCGTCGCGAATAAATGCCATAATTTGGCCAAAATTTGTAATAAGCCTACGAGGCTCCGCAGCTTTTTCTTCATCGGATAATGATGACTGATTGTCACTTGCCATAAGATCGGTCAATTGATATTAATAATAATTGGAATTGTGATGAACACTATAAAATCCGCGAGAACAAAATGGCTACAGCTAAAAACTTGTGCATTGTGGATTCATAGAGCTATTAAACATTATTAAATCTCTATGTGTGGATTTCACAAAATTTCACGCATGCGTGTAATTACATCCGTCCCGTGTGTAGGTGAGAGGAGGAAAAACAACATTAAACTTTAAAAAATAATTTGAGAAATATATAGCCAAATTTTAATCATTTACGATGAAATACATATCCAGGAACAAAAATGTAAAGCGGATTAGCTATTACCATCACTGTATTGTGTAAATTGGCAAATAACCTCCACATTCCCTATCCTCGCAGTATAAATTTATCTTTTTGTGACGTCACAAAAAGATTTTCAGTGACTTTCGGGGGGAATTTTTGGGGGTAAGGTATTGTCCAATACGTTTAATATTGGGTGTTAAGTATTGGGTGAGTTTTTTCAATGACTTTCTAAACAATGATGACAAGATTTTGGATTTCTAGAAACCGTTTCATATCCACACAGAACCAAAACAAAAAAATAAACTACGTCTTTTCGTACTTTTACACCATAGGGGTTAGGCTACTTGGCGTGAAGCTTTAATTAATTTCACCATTTAACTGTTGTCTGATTTTACCTATGTTTTCACACGTAATGAATGAAAACATATTAAATGGGAGATCAGATATTTAGGCCTATCTATCATTTGATGAAATAAATGAACAACGTTATAAAAATACAAGTTAACTACTAAATAGGCGTAGGACCGACTGCCTGTGGATTACATTTGGCAGTACCGATTTGGCTTATGTGGACTACATTTGGCAGGTAATTTTAAAGCCGAAATCGATCCGATGGACCGATTTTGGCCCCTGACGAAATTTGTGGGGACACGCTCTTTAATTCGGACTCCGTTTCGGTGAATTTATGGAGCTACCGGAGGGGAGAGGGAATAGGTTCACCGCATTTGAAAGTCAGATGATTTGAAATGCACTCCTGCACTCGATTTGTCCCGACATCTGAAAGTCAGATGATTTGAAATGCACTACTGAACTCGATTTGTTAACCGAATGAACTGGTAGCTTTATGTAGACTATGGTCTTCATGGTCTCAAACGAATGAGATAAAAGATGAGATACTTACCCGAGTAGTCCTGAAGGGGGATGAACAATGGTAAAGTGGAAGTTTGGACTGTTCAGCAGAAAGTAATAATTCCGACACGTTACATACCACAACCCTAACGGGCGGAGCTGAATGGTTGGTAAAGTGGAAGTTTGGAGAGTTCAGCAGAAATTATGAATTTTGCCTTAGTTCGTGTTATTTTCATGTAGTATACAAATGGGCGTGGCTTAATATGCAAGTGAGAAGGAGGATGAAGCTTATTGGATTAAAACATGACAAATGGGCGGAGCTCCAATGAATCCAATTGAGAATAGTTGTGGAATAATGAGAACGAGGCTGAAGTCGAAGCAGTGTAGCGTGTAGACAATCGACTTAGTTTTTATTATTTTTCTCATTCTGGACAGCGCCACCAACGTGAAAGTTAATTTAAAGGCGGAATAATAATTCGATAAAAAGAAATCGAGTATGGGACGCCAATTAAATTAGGTACCCATGGCGCGCACTAAGTGCAATAAAGAGTGAGTAAACTAAAATTAGCCTGGAACCCAGGCTAATAGTTTTAGCAAGCGGCGCTATACGTACGATTTTTGGTTTTAGAGGAGGTAGGCACACTCTCGGACGTTACAAGTTAAGTTCGTGGGAAATGAAGTGGGACACAAGTTATTTATAGCCTAGGCCTAGCTAGGCCTAGGCTAGGCCTAGGCCTACATGATATAGCCTAGGCCTAGGCCTAGGCCTAGCTATCAGTTGATTTACCGTCGATTTATAATCAAACGGTACTGAGGGGAGGGACACACACGAATTCGATCCAACTCGGCCACAAGTCAACTCGGCCACAAAAAGTTCGGCTACAGAACAGTCAACTCGGCCACAAGTCAACTTGGCCTGCACCCGGCTAGGCCTATCTAAAAAGTGGCCGAGATTGGCACGAGACCAGACATAGGTAGGCGTAATGTGGCCTAGCAGGATCCAGTCAAGTTATTGTTATGTGGATGTAAATGAAAAGGATGCATGTTGATGACGATATATTAAAGGAAGTGGGTATAATAATAGGGCCTAACTAGCTAGGCCTTACGTTGCTGTACGGCCCTATACTATATACTAAACTAGGCCTGGCTCTTAGGCCTAGATAGGCTACACGAATACCCGATCATTTCGGTCGCGCTTCGTTTCGGTCGCGGTTTGTTTTCAACAAATATATGGAGCGCCAATGGAGTTGCGAAAACGCCAAATTTAATATAACTAGGCCTAATTATCATTGTAAGTTCGTCAATCTGTTTTTCATACTTTTTAAAATTTATGTTCTGTTGTGTTTCTACTACTAAGTAACAACATAGGCTACAGTACTTAAAAGCAAATAAAATGAGTACTATTATTACTAAACTAAATTTCAATTAATATTATGGTATTTATAAGTTATTTTCTAGTTTGTTGCATTTCTAGTACAATGTTACTCTTTTATCGGACGGTTATATTTTCGTTTTGTTATCGATCCTACGCTTCCTACTACATAACAAATACAGTAAAAAAATGAATACTAAAATTTTGGTATTTCTCGTAGTATGGTACAGTATTCTTTTTTGATATATTATTTATAAAAATCAAACTTTTTATAAGAAAAAACCTGCCAACTCGTTATTTAAATTACTTTAACATTAGTTTATTAACAATTATTTTTATTAGTATTAAAGTTATTGTTGTTACTATATTACTGTATCACTTGGTTTGAGATAACGTTTTTTTTTTAATTGTTTGTTGCGATATATATATTGATCTTTTTTTATAGCATTTTCAATGGGTCCTCGATGGTAATTTCTATTCCGGAGATGTCCGGATAGTTCTTCTGTTCGATTCTAAAAATCTAAATCCGAAGAACAAATGCGTCTCATGTGCAACGCTTGGCTGTACGGAATGTTTTTTGTACAGTGCGGGGGGTGACAGCTGCTAGGGAGCAGGTACATATGCTTATCCATGGGTTTACGGAAGAGATCAGTTTTAAGTTCACCATTTTCCATGGTCACGGTGATGTCATTTTCCATGGTCACGGTGATATATATATATATATATATTTTCATATTTATGAACTGCGCAGGGGCATCGAAGAAAATTAAAGATTTCAAGTGAAGATAATGTGTGTATTATTCGTTTATTTTTTTTAATTGTGTTTCCCTCAATTCTCTTGGTATGGTATGTTTTATCCAAACTCTGGAAGCTGCAAGAAAAATAAATAAATTTATTGTATAAAAAGATTGGATTAAATATTGTAATGATTATTGTTTTAACTAAATTATGAAATAGATTTCAGATGGTAACAACATTCAATTCAATTAAAATAAAAGATACATTTTATTGACCATGATTATTAGAGTATAGTATATGAAAATGCAACAAAATGAATAGCATGAAGCACATACAAGTTCCATTATGAATATGTCACCATAAATGGAAAAAAGAGAATATGAAAGAAAGATAAAATGTTGTTAGTAGAAAGATAGCAAAACAGAAATAAAAAAATACTTAGGCCTATGATAAACCGATTGACGAACTAATTATAATAATATATAGGGCCTAGGCATATTAAATTTTGCGTTTTCGCAACTCCTTCGGCGCTCCACATATTCGTTTGAAATAAACCGCGACCGAAATGAGGCGCGACTGAAACGAAGCGCGACCGAAACGAAGCGCGACTGAAACGAAGCGCGACCGAAATGATCGGCTACCAGCTACACTAATTATACCAAATTCTACACGGACCACGTCCACACGAATGCGAAAAAGATTAAATTTACCACATATAAGCCTAGTATAGGGGCTTATCTTATGTAGTAAAATAGGATCCATCCCTCCAGTTGGCAATTCATGTTAATCTATATTTATGGCAATGTTTTTCCGACTCAGAATTTTATAGGGGCCTAATGATTTACCTTGGTTCAGACCCCACGTCCGCTTGGTCCTTTTTGGGTTTCATTCGCTAATTTCATCGTAGATGTGCTTGTTTTTTAATCATGTTTGTCATGTTGTTCTAAACATTTTTAACAATGAATAAATGATCAGTGGGGCATCCAGGAATTTTAAATAGAAGGGGACCATGGAGGAACTTTCAGAGATGGAGGGTCTACCACCTCAGCACTACAGTGGTTTGGGCTGAGGTAATGAAATTTTTAGTTGTGGCACCTCAGGGTGGTGGGAAGTGGCACTCAGACTTCAAAATTGTGAATATAATTTTCTTTTTACCACCATTTTTTTTTTATTGACAGATTAGGTTGGCCCCAGGCGGGCAGAGTACCCATTAATCTTTCACACTGGATATAATATGATACAGTATATGTCCTACAGTCGATGTCAGAGACTCATTATGTATCAACAAAACCCATTTTGGTTGGAGAGGAGTTGGTTCGAGGAGCATATTGGTTGGGCCCCTTGCGGTTGGGGCCCTGCAGACCACCTCATGAGATTGCATAGGCGTTACGCCATTGCCCCATACAACACATTAATTTTCAATGTTCCGCACCCACATTCATTACAGCAAGCCAGGTGGCTCTCACTGGTTTTACTATACATCTCGTCTCGTATAAATCAGCTTTGTTTTGTCTATCCCGTCATTTCCACTTCAGTCTAATATGTGCGCCATGCTCTTTTTTATGCATTTCACCTCACTCTAGTTCCGTTGCCTTTAGGTATTCTTTTTCTTTTTTTTTTAAGTTATATTTTGTACCTGAATTATATTTAATGGCTTGAAAAATGCTTGCCTATTTTTAAGTAGAGGGTTGAAATGTTGTATAAAGTTTTAGTAGGTATTTGGAATACTGTATCACATGGAATTTTCATTTTGACTATGACTCGTGAACAGACAAGAGATAGCTGGTACCGGTTTACCAGTTACCTCAGACAAGAAGAGACCCTTAGGGGAGTAGCAAGTTATTGTATGAGCTAGTCAACATCTCAAGCGCTCTATAAATTGAACCACATCACATTACTCTTCATTTTCTATGTTGTTTTATCTTTTTTCCTATTTTGATGGTTTGATTTTTAACTGCTTCACTGTGAAAATCAGTACACAAAGTGCCTGCAGTATCAAAAGAATAAATAATCACTGTTAATATATATAATTAATGTGTACACATCTACGATAAACAACCAGATATTGAGTCAGGATTCAGTAAACAGGATAACCTGTTAAACCCTAATACTTCGTTAAATGCATTAGCCTTTTTCCACAAGCAGTCAATTAATTACCTCCATCAATATCTTACGTATTCACCACCGTTGGTATGTTAGCTGAATTATGCTAAAACTAGCAAATGTATTGTATTATTATGAACTTTAGTGGAGTTATATTTTTCGTCTAAGGGAGAGTTTTTATTTATTTATAAATCAAGATTGCAGAAATTTTTAAAAATATATCTATGAACTTATAGGTTTTACTAAACAAAATGATTACCGTATCTCAAAGTATATGTTTCATTAAGCAAAATGATTTTCTCAAAGTATAAGTTTCGCTAAGCAAAATGATTTTCTCCGATAGAGTGAAACAGCCCTGAATGGAATGTTACAGGGGCGAACAGATTAACTGGCTTCATCCATCCTAAATACACGGATGTTAAATGGTAAAGAACGTGGTTAATGCAGTGACGTATCCAGGATTTTGAAAAGTGGGTTGCTGAATAGAAATATTACATCCACTGAACTTTACGGAAAGCACAGACTAGGAATGTACTCTAGTGTATAATTGGCTAAGACTACAGTACACCATAAATTGGTTGCTAAGATCTTAAATAACTTACTTTGCCATTTATTTTTCATTAATTGATTATTTTGCAATGCCCAGGCTAGAATGGAATCATACTTTTTTGTTTGTTCTAGTTATGAATGAAGATTCTCCATTATCATGTATCAACTGGCAATCTTTCAAAGAGTTCTTGCAAGAGGAGAATGAGTTGCAACAAGTCTCTCTCTTAAAGAAGGTACAGTGATTCTCTATCACATTGGCAGATTCAATTTTTGAGAATTAAAAAACAATTTGGAAAAAAGAAAAGAAAATTGCATTTAAATTTCAACCTGAGAGTGCCATAACCGACTATCTAGACTAGAGTGTAATAGACATACAATTTATTACCTCAGCCCCAACCATTTTGAAGCCCGTATCCAAGACTTGGTTTTATCAACAGAACCCTGAAGAGCGGTTTGAACCAGCCAATGCTCAATGTTAAGGTTGTAGATAGTGGTACCCCTGCCTCACTATGCAGCCACTCTGCTCGCCAGACCACTTGTACGAACCTCAGGTTCATTTAGTTAAAAAGACATTGAAATACTCACCTAAAAGTTATTAAATAATAATAAATAAAACTTGGGTAATTCACTAAATTTGATTGTGAATGATCCTAACTATATGTTATCTAAATTATATTTTCAGTTTGGCTCTGGATTAAGAAAGCTGGTTTGTCCGGGATTTGAAGAATCGCACTTGGAAGATTTGATTGGCATTCTCGCAGACATTCATGTTAATGCACAAGCTCGCTGTGTGCTTCGTAGGACCATTGTTAGGTACAGAAGGCTGGATCGAGGCAGTTCTTGTTTTTGGGGAATTTTCATATCATATAAAAATTGTTATCAAATTTTAGCAATACCATGAGAATCTTTTTTAGATTTATCTCTTTACTTAACGAATAGATGAATATCATGTCATCTGGTTTTAAGATCGCAGTGCTGGTGTCAGAACTTTCTTGTCGAGGAGGCTAAGGTCCCTGACAAGGTGGTCCAAACTCCCTGACACGTGGTCAAATTTATTTGTTAGACATGTTCCTGGCTCAGTTCTGATTGGTCAGTTTTTAAGTTTGATTAACACTCCAGAAAGGTGCATTAAATATTGTTAAATTTATCCTGTTTCAGTGTGCTTCAAAGCCTACCAGATACTTTGCATGGATGCATTATAAAGTCATTGCAGACTGCCTTGACCAATCACATTGCCTCCTGTGACCAAAGTGACCAATCATCATGCAGAGTCAGGATAGATACTTTGCAGTCATTGATGGAGAACTTCAGTCTTGGAGAAGCCGCTCTGAAGGCAACTCTTCATCCAGGTAAAATTTTACAAGCAGTAGACTAATAATCCAAGAAAACTACTTAAGGAATAAAAGGTCTGTCCAGACTGTCAAATTTTATTATTTAAAGGGCCGTCGCACGTACGAGTCGCACTACAGACAGTTACTACAGCGGGACGACTCTAAACGTCCAATGGAGATTGAACCGCCTAATTGTTATTTATTCTGTACTGTAGGCGAAAAAAAAAATGATTTGTAATTGACGATCCTATGATTTGTAATTGAGATAGTATCAGAAAAAATACTAATTTTCAATTTAGGTTGATGCATAAGCTAACATAAACATATTTTATTGATTTATAAAAGAATATATGTTTCTCTCATAAAAAGAAAATGCAAATTTGTAGTTTTTAGTCATCGAATTTTTAACATTAAATAAAAAACTATAGAGGGCTGGTGTGCATTTGTGCAAGTGCGCTCTAGAGAGAGTGAAGACCGCAAGAGTTTTAGTCCGTAAATGTTATTCAGAGTTACATGATGAAGTAACCAACATCGACAGCAAGATGAGGAGCCGCATCCAAAACATAAGAAATGATGTCTGTCATATTTTAAAAGATGGTAATTAACCTCATTATTTTAACATATTTAATTCATTTTACTGTCATCCTACACCAAGTGTATGCCCATTTCAAGTTGGTAATAGTAATTGTGCACATAACTAAGCTTCATTATAAGAAGTGTTGAGTAAAGAGTACACTCTTATTGTTTAGACTTTACCAACGTTATCACCCACCTACCTTTAAGATGTCTACCACCCAGCCTTAGATTGCTACAACTACAACCCTGCCTTTGATATTCTCACTAAAGATGTATGTTATTTTTGTGAGTTATAAGATGTTCTTTTTTTAGTTCTATTTTTTGCCGATTGTCAAAATGCAGCCGGTATGATACTTATTCAGAACATGCTACTACTGGCGGATCAAGAGTTGCCTGCAAAAAAAATTGCCGATGAGCTTTGTATTAAGACAGAAAAGTCAACAGTTATTGAGTTTCACCATCTTCCCCCACTGTCCAAGCTGTTCATTTGCCAAGGTGTATTGGCAACTGTACTGAAAGATCAGTTGACGAGCCATCTTGTGGGTGATGATTCTCTTTTGGAAATGATGTTTCAACAGATCTGGTGTCTAGTGAGTGTGTGAGTTTGCCTCTGATAATAAATTTATTCATATAATTATATATTATGCAGCATTGCACTAAATTTTTATGATGAACCATTCCTTAGTTTTTACATAATACTGCTGGCAAAGAGACAACAGACAGATAGGGGAATACATTTAACCTCCTTGGTAGAGGTAAAAATCAGATACATTTGGATATCGGATTTGTGAAATGATTTTTTATCAACCTCAGATTAATGGAATCGTTTTCTGCTCTCTCTGTACTTAGAGCCGCCACTGGTTATACTATATAGCTGAAGTGCAACACTGTATAGCAAAGGTCCCAAGTTGAAAGAAGTCAATTCTGGGAGATCTACTGTGGCTGATCCAGGAATTTGAAATAAGGGGGTGGGGGACTTTTACAGATGATGGGTAGGCCTACCTCCTGAGCCCCACCATGATTATAGTATCTCTAGATTGCCACAAATGACACTCTTTTTGTTAAATTTTATATATTACTACACACAGTGATCCATCGGCAGTGACTTCCATGAAACAATTGATAATAAAATATTTAAAACTGTAAATATTATGAATTTGCGGAAGATGGGTAATTTCTGGGAGAATCTTGCTTGTTTTGCGGGAGTGCGGAAGGTCATCCCGATTTCCGGGAGACTGCCGCGAGTTTCAGGAGACTTGGCACCCCTGGTATAGTAAGGCCTGCACGGAGAATATATCCTTCGCACAAGAATTTGGCCCAGAAATCCATCCACACATTTCAGAAAATAAGGGCCAATATCCACGCAGAATAGGAGATTAATTACCCAACGGATTGGCCAGAACCTCTCATCACAACATGTTGAACTAAAAAAATGAATACATATATTTCAAATTTGTTTCCCATTTTTTGGTATAAAATTTCCTAATACAGGTTCCCCTATTTATAACTACAGGAATATGCGAGATAGGTAACATGCATGGAAAGAACCACGCTAGTATTATTTTAATAAGTGCCGCTCTTGAATAAGCGCAGCACTGAAGCCTAAAAAAATATTATAAGCCCTGCGCCGCTTATACAAGGATTTACAGTAATTTGACATTCCAATTGGACAGATTGAGTAAATGTGCTTATTCAACTGGTTTTTTTGTATTATTTTCATTCGACTGGTTTGTAAAATAGACTTTGTTGACAACGTAAATTAATGTAACCAGAGTGGGATAATCAGCATTAAGTTATCCACGTGACCAGAACAAACATGGCCGATTGGTCAGTTTAGCAACAACATTTGCGTTAATATAATTTAGATTAAATTTCAGAAAATAAAAATTATAATATTTACCCACATGAAGTCAAAAAATAATTGTAGGCTAACAGAATTCAAAAACTGGATGAAAAACATTTTTTTACGGAAAACCCATACTGCCCACAAGTCAAGCAATCTTGATTAAGCAGCGTATATTGCGTATTAACTATGCAGTCAATTTGTTTTGTCAAGTATTTACAAGTTTTCTATTCGACTGGTCGTCTTCGTTAAGTAGGATTTTACCACTGGCGCAGGTGGGCGTGGTTTAACGAAAAACGACCAGTCGAATACAGCCATTGATATGATTGTGATATATACCGTATTGAATAAGAGCTCTCTTGTTTTAAGGTACCAGACAGGACAAGGTCGTGTCCCAAGATTCCTGATCCTATGACAAAGTTTGAGAGTTTAAGCAAAGATAGTTCTAGTATTGTAAGTATAAATCATTTATTTTGAACCACCTAAGAATACAATCCTCTTTCACAGTGTAAAGAAAACTTTTTTATATACTGTATTTATTAGAGTAAAGTATTCATATTGTCGAAAGTATTTTCATATTGGAAAGGTAAAGGTAAAAGAAAAACCTGTAACTTCCATCAGCCATTTAAATTGCACTTGTCTTTGTTAAATGTCTGTGTAAACAAATTCAGCCTGGTTTACATAGGGTGAGCGATTCTATAGAAAGCAAGCTTTAGATGCTTTACTATAGAGAGCGTTGCCATACGCATTTTAATTTAACAGTTATGTAAAAACATCATATAAAAATTGGGATATATATAATCATATTCACCGTAATTGTTTAAACATATGTTTTGACAATTTGACATTTTTATTTATCTGTTCTTCTCTCACCCAGTATGACTTACATGAGCATGTGCCTCCGCTTGATCATTCCAACCTCTCTACAATTCAAAGTGTGTTTGATTATCGTTGTTTGGTGTCCGGAGGCGACAGGGTGTATATTATGGGAGTGGGAGTAAGTATGAATTTTAGCGAAAGTGTGGCTCTTACATGCTTAGTACTTTCGATGTATGCGTGTGTATGTAGCCTTCATTGAAATTTTTATAGCGCATAAAGTGAATATGAGGCCTGTCATCCAAAAACCAGCGTACTATCACTATATGTTGAACTGAGAAGAATGGGGCAGTATTGTATGCTTTTGTACGGAGAAGCCATAATTACTTTTGCTCCTAACTTTGACAATAGTAAGTTGTTTCCAGTAAATATCCCATCATTTTAAAGCTTATAATGAGGAGAATAAAAATATATTAAAAAATCGCTTTCATTTTTTTTTTTGTTCACTGATGATGGTTATGCGATGGCAAGCCTCATATATATTAGAATTCTACCCAAAAGTAATCCTGGAACAGAGAAACTTGAGGCACTCAGTGCTAGAACTGTCTCTTATACACATCTAGATGTGTATAAGAGACAGGTACAACAGTTGTATGAAAATCGTTCAATGAATCCAACTTCGCTCCCTGTGAGCGCTAGATAATGCGATGCTGTCTGCTGATTACCAGTGACAGTCTAAACCTATCATCGTTAAATACGATCTTTTGCGTGTGTTGTGTCATTGCAGTCTTTATGGAATCGTGTCGGCCGACGACCGTAGGC